TAAAAAATTTTGGGGACAGATAGAGCTTTCTTTTGTGACCCCCCAGGGGGGTTATTTTTTTTTTACTATATAATGAAAAAAGTACCATAAATGTTTAAAAAAAAAAAAAGTTTCCCTACGTTATGTTATAAAACAGTTATTCTTACCCATATTTTTAGTAAAACATAAAGGTCGGGGTCATGTCGGGTAAATAGACACCAAACCATGTCAAGCCTTAAAATTGCGTACGCCCGCAAAATCGCAAAAAACGCCCATAGGCGACGATTAAAATGCTTTTACTGCTCATCAGTTTAGTGTTATCAGTGATGAATGGCTCTAAAATTATTGCGCTCACTCCGTTTGCGGCGATATGTAACATGTGCGGCACAATAGGCGCACTCGTCGTTTGCGCACGTAGGCGCACCCGACGCATATCTGCGTGTGTATGTGGGGGGCGAGGACTTAAAAAAATGTTTTCTTTTTTAATTATTTTATGCTTCTTTATTTTTTTTTATGATTCTTTAAAATTTATTTTTTACACACAACTTTATTGCTATTACATGGGGGGCTAAGAAGCCCCCTATGGGATAGCCAATTTACATGACAGAAGACCCCTAATGTCACCTAGGGACCCCAGAGAAGCTGATGAAGCAGAGATCGGCTTCATCAGCTTCTCTAGCTGGAGAGTGACACTAAATGCAGGAAGTGATGTAATACAAATGCCATCTCCTTGAATACAAATACAGGTGACATCCCTTCCTGCTCCATAAAGATAGATACGATTGGTTTGTGTAGACAAAGGAGGAGTCTACACAGGCTCGCTTGCTTCCATTCCCCCCATACTTACCACTGCTCCAGCTTCAACCACTTTTTTCCTGGCAGTGCCCTCTCCAATAGCATTGTCCTATTTGTTAGCAAAGTTAGCCACAACATAACAATCCGAGTTAAAGCCTAAAGTGCGACTGAAGCCAAAACATTCTTATTAGTTTTGGATAGAGTGGAGAGGGATTAGAATACCTGTCAGGTTTACATTGCTGTCTTTTTCCCCATTGCAGATTCACCTTCTACATTTGTCCTGGTGACCGTTATCACTGAAAGTAGAAATAAAAGTCACCAGAACAGAAACAGATGTAGTATCTTCCTATGGAGACACTAGTTCTGGTGACCCGCTGACCACCAGAGATTTCCCTCATCTGGAGAAATTTCCCCTCACTTTCTGCTGTGGCTATCAGACAGGAAGTAAAGGGAAGTCTCCTCAAGAGCACACTGCTGGCAAAAAAAAGCTGACAGGAGTTATAACCTTCCATTACTCTATCCAAACCTAACAAAATTGTCTTAAGTTCTGCTTTACTCCAGGCAAACACCTAAATACACACAAAATACATACATGAGAGCTATTTATCCTTCCAAAAAGTGTAGTATTTCTGTCCAGTCAGTCCCTAGATTTACACAGCTCTGCCCCATCACAATCCTGCCTAGCAGTGGAAGGGACTTGGTCTTTCTAGCAGTTTCACTTTGGGCTTGCTCTCAGGATGTCCATTAAGCAGCACTCCACCGCAAATGTATGGTGTGAACAGGGCACGTGGAAAACACTTGTTTTCTATGTTCCCTGTTCAGAACATGTGCGGCAGTGTGCAAAAAATGCAACTCAACAGAAATTGTGTGAACAAGCCCTCAAAAGTCTCCTTCCTAACTATGTGATCTGATAGTAAAAGGAGAAGCAGCAAAGTGGTGAGCTCCTCTCTGTCACTCTGCTTTCAATTCCATATCAGCATGCTCCTAGCACTGCAGCACACTAGACTGGTTCCTTATGCTGCTTCCTCCACTATCTCTCTGACCTCTGATACACAGCAGACTGCAAGAGGCTGATACAAATTCAAATTGAGGTACTTACAGCTTCTTGCATTAAAAAAATTAGAATTTATTGATGATTACAGAGCAGCATTAATTTGTGATTTTTAGATCTGCCTATAGGCCAGCGTTCAGACAAGTAAAATATTAGAAAAGCATTAGCAATGCAAATATTTTAGACATTATAAAAAAAGTTATCAAACAAATGGTCCCATCCTTCCAAAAAGTTAAAACAATAACTGTCTAAGAATCAAATATCTTAAACTGTCTCTGAGTAAAACAAATGCATAGTCAAAACTGATAATTCTAATCAAATATTTCATATTACTGCAATAATTACAATCTGTTTATTGGAAATCTTCCCCAACTGGACAATAATAGATGCTGGGCAGCTGGAAAAGGCCCTCGTGCGTCATTCTAACAAGCCATCATTTTTTTAGTTCAATTATCAACTATTAGCAAATAGCATAAACAAATACACATTAGGCCTTTTACCAAAAGTCTCCTTACCTCCAGAAGGTGGGAAGTAATATTGGCAGGGAGTTGGGAGAACTGCTTTAATTCAAATACATCTCGCACTGCTGAGCGGCTCATGTGATTCTCGGCTTTGCTCGAACCAACCACATTTTGATTTGAATGAATATAAGCAACTTCAGCCACACCATCTAGGATGGAAAAATTTCAGACATATTTACACACATATAGTAACTAGGATTAGGAAATAAAATACAAAATCATTATTAGCTGCTTCTGTAGAATGACTGAAAAAGAAAAAAGTTCTTTAAAGACCACTGATGTTTAGCATTATTTGCTGTGCAATGTAGATGAAAATGGTAAAAGTTACATTTTACAGTTACACATCAAAGGCATAGCACTTATCCAGCCCCCCCAAAAAAGGAAAAAATTGAAGCAAGTGTCCCAGGTTTATTGTTGCACTAGCCACAAGCTCCATTTAGTTAAAATGCATCAGAAAATTAAATCCATTAACTGTTGTAGTGGCAGCATTGCATGTCAAAGGAGAACTATGGGGGCAACCTTTGTGGCCCAAAGTTCTCCTCAGGGTCACGGGAGGACATATACTGTGTCTTCCGGTGACCCAAAACTCAGTATATAGTGGGCTATTGCCCCTATATGCAGAGAGTGCAGCATCTGGGACGGATCGCACCAGTGCTGGAGAAATGGAGGGGGCCCCTGTGGAAGCAGTGACTGATGGGGTAAATCTAAAAAAAAAAAAAGGACGTGTCCAGAGGTGGACTTTAAAGTGACCCTGTTACCCCACTTAATACGCAGGCTGACCATATCATTAAAATGTAGGGATGCACAAAAATTTAGTCGGAAAAAGGTACTATGGGCAAATGCAGATAGTACCATAATGGCCGAAAATGTGGCTGAAAATTCAGTGCATCCTAACAGCTTCTCTCCTCCCAGGGACAGGAAGGAGCAAGCCCTCTAGAGACAGTTTTCAGCTGTCACAAGAGGCCGCCCCGTTCAGCCTCCTGTGACAGGTGGAGCAGTTAGGATGGGGAGCGGGTTATTAGTTACAAAGTGACACTAGACTCAGTGAGGTAAATCATAAAAATGCATTCAAGTACCTTAACTATTAACAAAAAGGTATCTTATTTGTGTATCACTCGGCTGTAGATCCTCAAATCATCTCTGAATTGGTGCTGACGTCTTGTGATGGACTACAATCTTATGTTTAGTTTACTCATTTGTATTGAGATTGTAGTCCATCTCGGTAGTGAGCTTGGAACAGTAGCTACTTTGCAGCACTGACAAGGACCATGGGGAACAAAAGTAGCCACCCTCCAGAAGGAAGGACAGTGCCAGCATCAATTCAGAGATGAAATTGAGGATCTACAGCCGAGTGATACACAAATAAGTGTCAATGTAATTATTTTAGCAGCCTGCAATGTGTTAAGTGGCGACAGGGTCACTTAAAAGGAGAACTATGAGATGAGTGATTTTCACTCCTCATAGTTCAAGCGTCTCAGTATACTGCTGCTCGCGGTATACTGAGCTTAGTGTGACGGGAGGACGCTAGTTTGTGTCCTCTCGTTACCCTAAGGAGAACTATGGGGAAAGCCCTAACCCCATAGTTCTCCTTTAACCCTTTCGCTGCCAAGGACGTACGTCGTACGGAGCTACAAAAGTGCTTCCAGCTGGCCAGCTTAGTACGCCGTACGGACCTGGCATTTACAGTTCTACTATAAGCTGATGGTTTAAATTTATAGCTGTCATCATGTCATCAGCTGCTCACAAGCCGCTGATGACCGCTATTTTAAAAAATACCGGGAATATACAGGCAAAATACATGTATGTTGACTGTTCCGTCCACAGAATTTGTGATTGTGTTGATAGACTTCTACCACACAGCCTAGGTGACAATCATGTTTATACTGGTTAATCTCCACAGCTTCCTGGGTCACCTCCCTGTTTATCAGAAAGAGATGATGATGCTGATTCATTGTCAATTGAGCAGGCTGGATGCAAGAAGGTGAAGTTTCAAAGCTAAGCCAAGAACCGTTTATGCAATGTGGCAGGCCTGTCTGAATCAGAAGAGTAGCTGAACAGAGTTACAAATCCTTTGACAGGTAAACAGTTCATATACAGCATGTAAAGCTGGTCATACACCAGTAGAATCTAGTTTTAAAAAGTTGTTTTAGGAATGATTATTCAAATTTGTAATGGTAATGGGGTCAAAGTGAGGATCGTTTTCAACTGTAGGGCAAAAAAAAAAAATTAGAAAGGAGCAAGATGGCAAATTTTTCTCGAACAAATGAAATTCTAACAGTGAATGTGATTTTAATTTGAGAAACTCTATTCATTCCAAAATCAAATGTTAAAACCTAAAGAAATTTCAAAGGACATTCTACAAGTCTCTGGTGGCATTATTGAATGTTCTGATAAGATTTTCCGTATGAACGTTCCTACAAAAATCTACCAGCTTAACTCTATGGCCAGCTTAACTGTGCAAATAACTGTTAGCCTGAGGCTCTGCTTAAGAAAACACAAACAGTACCGTCTAAGAACATTTTAAGAAAACATTATATTATTTCTAATTAGAGAGGAAAATGATGGTCAATATGGCAATAACTGTTTCAGGTTTATCACACAAATCAGGCTGTAGTTTGGAGTCTTAAAAATGAAAGGCCAGTGTGAGGGCTAGAGTAAATGGCAATTCTTATCCTGAATATATAAAATATACTGCAATCACAGGGGTTACAATAATGTGCACAACAGTGGCCATCATGTAGAACACTATTACATGCACTAGATGTTTAGCCTATGGTCTTTGCAAATTGCCCTCTCAAATTTACCAAGGTCTAATAGAAAATACTACATAATTTATTAAGTTAGTGCTAAAAGATTATGCCACCTAAGCACCCTAAATAATATATTAGGTCACAAACACACAGGCTACACTCTACACTCAACTAATATACTAATCAAAGATGTAGTATGCGGTTTAGCATTGTCCTGCTGAAATATAAAAGGCCTTCCCTGAAAAAGACATTATCTAGATGGGAGCATATGCTGCTCTAAATCCTGGATATATCTTTCAGCACTGATGGTGCCTTTCCAGATGTGCAAGCTGGCCATTCCATATGCACTAATGAACCCCCATACCATCAGATATGCAGGCTTTTTACCTGAGCACTGATAACAAGCAGGAGGGTCCCTCTCCTTTTTAGTCTGGAGGACGCCTATGATTGCCAGAAAGAATGTACAATTTTGATTTGTCTGACTACAGAACAGTTTTCCGCTTTGCGACAGACCATTTTAAATGAGCTTTGGCCCAGAGAAGACGTCGTCGATTCTGGATCATGTTCAGATATGGCTTCCTCTTTGCATGCAACTGGCTTGCTCTTTGCATTTGCAACTTGCATTTTTAGATGGCACATGGACCTGTGTTCACAGAGAGTGATTCCTGAGCCCATGCAATGATGTCCATCACAGAATCATGCCGGTTTTTAATGCAGTGCTGCCTGAGGGCCTGAAGATCCAATAAAGCATTTTGGCCTCGTCCCTTTTGCTCAGACAAGGCAATGCCATCCAAGTGCAAGCGCTTTCAAGGCCACGCAGGGTCCCCTTTATCAGGCTAAGAATGATCACTCTTAGCCTGATGAAGGGCACCCTGCATGGCCCTGAAAGTGTTTGCATTTGGATGGCATTGTTTTGTCATTAAATGGACAAATATGACTTAACTGGTAATATCATTGAATTCAGTGTATACTTCGTGGTGCTGTCCATGGTCACTACAAGCACCCACCTAGACTCCACAGGTTAAACTACAAGCCAGTAAGGAGTGCAGCGAGACACATTTTTTTTTTCATTGAATCTTTTGGTGATATTATATACACTATAGATGATAATATATTTCAAATCTTTGTAATTTTACGTTGAGGAACATTATTGTGAAATTCGACAATTTTTAGATTCAGCTTTTCAGATTTGTGATCCCCTGCCAATCGTTACTTCTGCGACACTCTGACTCTCCAAGATGCTCTTTTTATACCCAATCATGTTACTGAGCTGTTGTCAATTAAACTAATTAGTTCCAAAATGTTCTTCAAGCTCTTCCTTGTTAGTACCACTTACTTTGCCAGCTTTTTGATGCCCTGTCCCGACTTTTTTCTGGAGACGTGTTGCTAACATCAATTTCAAATTTACCTTTTTTTTCTCTTAAAATTATACTTTTTCTCAGTTTAAACATTTAATATGTTTTCTATTGTGAATAAAATCTGGGTTTATAAGATTTGCAAATCATTGCATTCTGTTTTCAGGTAGATTTTACACAGCGTCCCAGCTTTTTTGGAATGAGGGTTGTATACATGAGATCATGAATTATAACATCTATGTGTAGGCAGGTAATATACATGAGATCATTAATGACAATGTGTATGTGCAGGCAGGAAATATACATAAAAGATCATGAATGATAATGTATATGTGCAGGCAGCTAATATACATAAGATCATGAATGATAATGTGTACATGGAGGCAGGCAATATACATAAGATCATGAAGGATAACATGTATGTACAGGCAGGCAATATACCGTATTTGCCGGCGTATAAGACGGGGTTTGAGACCCAAAAAAATCGCCCGAAAATCGGGGGTCGTCTTATACGCCGGGTATACTTCGGTATACTGTATGTAGCTTCGGCTACATACAGTATACCGCGCTGAGCCAATCACGGCAGGCTTTGTATTCTTTAATACAAAGCCTGTATTTACTGCATACAAAGCCTGCCGTGATTAGCTCAGCGAAAAATCATGAAATATACCCTCTATGTGCAGGCAGGTAACATACTGTACATGGGATCGTTGAGATATCAAGATGTATATGTGCAGGTAGCCAATATACATAAGATCAGGAAGGATAACATGTATGTGCAGGCAGGTAATATACATAAGATCACAAATGATAATGTGTCATCATGTGTTTGCAGCTAATATATATAAGAACATGAAGTATAATGGGTAAGTCTGTGCAGACAGTAATATATACAGGCCATAAAAGCAGGGAGCAAAATAATATATATAGATCTATATATAATCTACCTACACACATGACCATGGAGTATAGTGTGTTAGTATGCCCATGTAGATAATATATACACAAGACTATGAAGCATTATAGGTGATTATTTTTAGGCAGATTATATAAGAACAAGATGTATAATATGTACAGTATGTATTTTCAAACAGCTTATACAGGTGAAACTCGAATAATTAGAATATCGTGCAAAAGTAATTGCAGTAATTGCTGCAAAAGGGGCCCAAACCAAGTACTGAGTACATATGCATGCTTGTACTTTTCAGAGGTCCGATATTGTTCTATGTACAATCCTTGTTTTATTGATTGCATGTAATATTCTCATTTTCTGAGATTGTGGATTTAGGGTTCTTGGGGTTTTCATGAGCTGTAAGCCATAATCATCACAATTATGACAAATCACGGCTTGAACTATCTTGCTTTGCATGTAATGAGTCTATCTCATATATTAGTTTCACCTTTTAAGTTGCATTAGTGAAATAAATGAACTTTGCACGATATTCTCATTATTCGAGTTTCACCTGTATATATACACAAGACCATGAAGTGTAACATATCATTTTTTTCAGATAGGCTATGTACAAGACCATGAAGCACTTACCGAAAATTCTGTCCAGAGACCCCAGACTTTCCTTCTGAGTGACGAGTGTTTTATCAGTAGCACTGTTGTCCAAATTTGTTCTGGAGTATTTCTTGTGAACTACAGACTTCATTTTTGTTGTTGATCTGTTTGAGTTTGAATCTTTGTATATTGTGGTTTTGCCTGTCTGCTCGGGATGATGAGAAAATATTTTGTCGCCATGAAAGTCATCATCTTCAGATGAAGAAAAATCATCTATTGTCTGTGAATTCTTTTTTTCTGTATCACCTTTGCTGGGATATGAAGTGTTTCTTTGTTTTAGAAAGCTAGGTATAGATGGTATTGCAATGTCGTCAGACTCATCACTAATATAGTCACTGCCACAGTCCGACAGGTTCCTCATTTTCTTTTTTGGAGTGTTACATTCAAAATCTGAACTCACCGATTCATCAGATTGTGGCATAACTCTTGCCCTCATGGCAGATTTTATGGGTACATTACTTTTATTGGCTTGGGTGGGGAAAACAACATTATCACTTTCATCTGAGCTGCTGTTAGTCTCCATGACAGCTTCTGAAATCTGCCCTTTGTTTTTTACCACTGGGTCTGAATCTTCATCAGAATCAGATAATATATTCAAGCCCAAATTACTGCTTCTTCTTTCTTTTCCAGTGACTTCTAAACCTTTTTTGAACTTGCAAGCTGTATAAGCATTGTTGCTTTTGATTTTAGAATGTTCACTTGAGGGGCTTCCTGAAAGGTCAGACTTCTTGTCTTGATCACCAAGTGCTGTCTCAAGCAATCTTGAAAAATCGCATTGCTGTAATGTAAGTTGTTTACCACGGTCTGCACCTGCAGAGGCGTTACTTTTTCTCCTTGAATCATCATTAATTTCATCATCACTATCACTAGTGAAATCAAAGCCCTCCTTTGGAAACCGATGATGGGATTTAAGATTCTTCTCTTCATTCTCTATACTTCCATCCTGCAAGGACAAAGTCCGTACACATGACTGAAAACTGTATAGTTCTCATACTAATTATTAAACTATCTGACAAATCTAAATCTGAAATTCTGATTTAATCAACATTAAAACAACTATGTTTTATATTAATTTGAGGAATTATATCTGTCTATGCCAAAGTAACTATGTTCACGCACAATAACCCAATTACACCAGTATAGACAGATTACACCCACATCGCATCATTGCTGAATGTGAACACTCTGGGAAAGGCTAGGGACTGCCAAATGTTGCTGCTTTACTGGGTCTGAATCTGGGGGTACTAAGGCTTCAATTTATCAGATCAAGAAGTAAATTACACAACACTGTAAGTACAAAGAAATATAAAGACCTAAGCACTTAGTCACAACATCTTTGCTGACTGGGAGGATCACAGTTTATAATGGAAAGAAGACATCGTATAACCAAGTGTCTAGGACGCCAGCACTAAAAGAAGACTGGAGCAGAATTTTCTCCAGAAAAACTCTTTATTTACCCATGCCAGCAAGACCAATATCATAACTTCAAGCATAGATCAACTTTAGGTTGCAAAGCTTTATACTAGAAAATATTTTCTTAACAAAAACATATAGGGATAGCTATCTAGCTAGAAGTAGGTAAATAAATGTGTCTAGGCCATAGGCCAGACCCATCTTCTGATGGCTACTTCCAGCAGCATAATACACCAGGTCACAAAGCTCACATCATCTCATACTGGTTCCTTGAACATGACAATGAGTTCACTGTGCTCCAACGGCCTCCACAGTCACCAGATCTCAATCCAATAGAGCACCTTTGGGATGGGGTGGAACGGGAGATTCACATCATGGATGTGCAGCCGACAAATCTTCAGCAACTGTGTGATGCTGTCATATCAACACGGACCAAATCTCTGAGGAATGTTTCCAAAACCTTGTTGAATCTGTGCCACGAAGAACTAAGGTAATTCTGAAGGCAAAAGGGGGTCCCGGTACCAGCAAGGTTTACCTAATAAAGTGGCCAGTGAGTGTAGGCAGTCTAAAACATCAGAGAAGGTTCTAATCCCTCAACTATAACAGGCTCTCTCTGTATTTTCTGAAGACTATGATGGCTGGATACTTACAGAGCTTTGTTGCCACAGTAATGACTTGCAGCTCGGCTTGCTGATACCGGAATTTCCGGTATTGGATTAAGAATCGGGAGTATTTGGGCGAGTAAGAGTACTCGGTATCGGCACCAATACTAGTATCGGTGCATCCCTAGTTCATAGCTATCTGCAACAATTAATTACAAAAATAAGAAATAGAAAGATAGGCAATATTAACAGATACAAAAAGACATTTCTGTAATAATCACGGAGAAGGAAATCTATTTACTTCCATGGAATATGTATGCTACCTTTTTTTCTTGAAATCGAATTAAAAACAAAAATCAGCATTATAGAAGCAACACAAAATTCATCACCTCCGTCTTAATGAATTTAATGGATAGGTATCATGTTATGTCATGAATATACCTACAAACAACTACATACAAGCAGAAACTGTCCGATATGCAAAAAGCTATACAAATTGTTGCTTCTGAGCATAAAGAGCTTTTCATCCAATCAAGCTCCCTGGCAAGTAGTTTGATTTATAGCATGAAATAATTCATTCTGCATGCACTCTTCCAACTTTTCAAGTTATATGACTTTTCAAACTAAACAACATGCAAGGGCCAAAACACTACATAATCAAGTTATTTGTAAGAAAAACATACAGCAGGGGTGGGCCAAAGCTTCAGTGACTTCGAAGCCAGACATCATACTGATAAGTAATTAACAGGCACGTTTTATAATGTTTTAAACAGTGAAGAGCTCGGTGACTGCTTGGAACGGAGGCATTTGTAGTCAAGGGGAATGCATTCTAGCAGCAATATGCTTCAGGTCACTCAGCTCTTGAAGCGGTTAAAACAAAGTACCATTCTTTGGAAGCATGAGAGACATATACAAAACATATTCCCTGCAGAATACTGTACCAAGCACAGCACCAGAGTAAAGTTTATGTGAGTTTAACACAGCGTGTAATCTCCTATGAGGAATTACATCACTAAAACTCATTATAAACTTTACAATCTAGGAACAACAGCCAGTTACAAAGGTTCTTTGATTCTCACCTTTATTTTATTTTTTGGAGTAGACCTTTTGTGTGCTAAAATAATAAATGCATTTGAAAGCAATAATGTTATTTATACAAAAGAATAACACGACTGAGTCATGAGTATGTTAATATGAGTTAACAGGCCCTGTGAAACTGCTAAAGTCAAGGTTTTGAGCAAGGAAAAAAGCCAGTGTACAACAATAAGTGTGGGAAAGCTAACTGCTTTACTATCACATCAATCTTACACCAGCATGCAGTAAAGCACATACAAAAAAATTAAAATGTGTAAAACAGAGTCAAACTTTTTTTTTTCCAATTTACCATGAGAGCCCACTCACACAGCAAAAAAAGCAAATAAAACTGGGCGATTCAAGCACAGAAACAAGAATTTAAAACTGTTATTTAATGGGATTCCATTCACATGTAATTATTAGCAAACATATAAACAGGGAGAGGATGCATCATCTTCTATAGTACACAAATATATTTAAAGGAATCTAATGATACGTAGCACCAGTGGCGTCACAGGGGGTGCAGCTCACACCAGTTGACACCAAAATGACTGACAGTAATTTTGGTGTCACTCCTTCTGAAAAGTCAGGCACTCAGTCATGGACCGAGAGCCTGACAGCTGCACAAGAGAGGAGGGGACCCAGCAGCATACCTTATCCTGCCAGATGAACGTCCCCTTCTCTTTTTGCCGGCGTCCATCACCAAGATGGCAGCCAGCAGTGAAATGCACGTGATGTCATTACATGCGTGCGTGCATAATGACTTCAAAGATATACACAATGAAATGCACCCCGGGTGACACCTGGCCTAGTGATGCCCCTGCCTATCACTAAGATATTTTTGGAATAATAACTGTCATTATTTATGTAGTACTATTTGTTATAAATTGAAAGTAAAAAAATGAAATGCACCCCGGGTGACACCCAGCCTAGTGATGCCCCTGCCTATCACTAAGATATTTTTGGAATAATAACTGTCATTATTTATGTAGTACTATTTGTTATGAATTGAAAGTAAAAAAAAAAAAAATACAAGATATGTTACCAAAATCATATAAATAGACACAGCTAATTAGTGATAATAAAGTCAATTAAAGATGTATACCAAAACATTTACATACATTTTTTTTAAAAGTCCCCCGCCCCTCACAGACGCATGCAAAAAACATGCGTCGGGTGCACCTATGTGCGAAAACGACGATTGCGCCTATTGTGCCGCACATGTTACAAATCACCGCGAATGTCGGAGTGAGAGTAATAATTTTAGGGCCATTAATCACTGATAACACTAAACTGATGAGCAGTAAAAGCGTTTAAAGCATCGCTTATGGACAGTTTTCGGTGTGGTCGTTTTTCGCGATTGCAAGGCTATAGTTCGGTCATGCTGACTGGTGAGACACCCTAGCATTTTTCAAGCCCTGTGTGTGTATGTATGTATATATATATATATAGA